GCTCGACTGTGAAAACCGCACATCACTATTACATTTTTTACATACTAATAATTCAGAAAGAGCAGTAAATACAGCGAAAAAATGTATGAAACAGTAGCCGAAATCCCTATCAACATTGCAATCACGATTTAAATCAGAAGTTTTTAATTTTTTCGCCGAGGTACTAACGTACTCGGAATAGCCTTCGAACGCATGGCGGTTAGGCGGGTGTCGGTTACTAATTTTACTCCGGGTTGTTCTGGTACTTCTTGTTTTACTGCCTTTGTGGCCACTGTACAACTTGTTACTCATAATTAAGTACTATTGAATATAATTCACAGTTAAAAAGTATAGCAAAACTCAAACTAAGAACGTACACAACTAGAACGGCTGATCGACTAAACAAAGAGAAATTGTGAGTAAACACATGCTGTACAGACACTGGAACGATCGAAATTCTATACTTCAAATTCAAAAAAAGATATCGATCATTGGTAACTTCTACTAATTAACAAAGCCACGAAATTAAAAAAAAAAACGAGCATCGCTAAAATAAGGGAAAAATGTGATTTTAGGAAATAAAAGTTTTTCCGAAAAAATTGATTTAAACGAATTTTGAGTTTAGATCAGTACTTGGGCGTTGAAGATTTTGATTCTAGGATAGTTTTAGCATGATTTAAGCCAATAAAAAAAACATGAAAAAAAAAAAATTTGGTGGATATTACCCCTTAAAAGAAATTAAAATTATAAACATTGAATAAGAATTTATCGTACTACAATTATTATATTCAATTGCCATCTTGCAACCCTATTGCGGATCTGAGAATAAAATAAAAAAAATCAAAATCGCAATGGAAAAATAGAGATTGATCGTAGAAGGGTGAAAAATTGAAAATAATATGATTTTTTTTGTCATGATAAAATAAAAACCTTGCTAAAAAAATTAAAGTTTATAATTTACAAATAAAAAATATGGGTTTATCGTAGAAGAGTAAAAATTTAGGGCTGTATATATTTTTGAATGCTGTATCATAAAAAAATAAAAATAAAAAAAATATTGAGGGGTGGACCACCCTTAATATTTAGGTGTATGAAAAATAGATGTTGTCCAATTCTCAGACCTACCCGATATGCACACAAAATTTAATGAAAATCGATCAAACCATTTCGGAGGAGTTTGGCAACAAACACCGCGACACGAGAATTTTATAGATTAAAATTTATTATAGATACCTGTTTTATAGTATAAAAAACCCAGCACAGGGGGGTCGCGGCACAGTGGTGACGTTATATAGCATTATAAAGTTAAATATAATATAAATAATAAAATCGAAAATTTTCACACAAAAATAGCATTCGGTAGCCGTTTTCACCATGAAGACAAGTCCAGAGGTCAAATTTTTTTTTTTCAAATAAAAGTACATTACATTAGCTTTAATTTAAGATATATATAAAAGTGTCAGACCTTCCGGAACATTTTCAAAAGTTAAGTTGAAAAAGTTAATTTTTTGTGAAAAAGTTGTCATTTTAAATCCCCCCCTGTGGGCAGAAAAAAGGTCAAATTTACAAAAAAAATATACCAAATGATAGGTAAAGACATCAAGCATCTATATAAAAAAAAATTATATTGATATGTTCATTTTTGAAAAAGTTACGGCAGTTTTTAGTAAAAAAAATTGAAAAAATTTCGAAAATTAGCGATTTTTAAATTTGTAATTTTTTTGGAGGTTTCCCCCATTTACGGGGAACGAGGGAATTTTTTTCAATTTTTAAGGGTAATGTCTTCGACTAGATACGATTTGTTATCTTTTGACGTATCATTGAAAGAAATCGGTTCGGTGAGAGCTGAGAAAAAGTGGTAACAGACAAAAAAAAAAAAAAAATAAAAATAAAAAAAAAACACATCATAGTAAAACCAATACCTTCTCAGCTTCGCATCGAAGCTAAAAGGTAAAACATAGGATTTTAATTTAATTTTAAGTTAATAATGTAATTTTCTTTTCTTTTATTAATTAAAAAATATGTTTTTGATAATGATTGATATCTAGTAAAAAATCACTACACATATAAAAAATTTAATGTATATTTTGGAGTTTCTAATAGGAACTAATAAATATTTTTAATAAGTTACATTAACTTACGATTCCCCATAAACACTTGAGCATAGTTTAATAAATAAATCTAATGGAAATTTCCCAAAAATTGATTCTTCTTGAGAAGATGTTTGGAAAAAACCAAATTCTGTGCACATTTGATAGGTCCATTGTCTACCTGAAATTTGTTTAAAAAAATTTTAAATTAAATATTTTTTTAATACGTAATTTATTTAAATATTTAGTTATTTAAATTTAATAGGTATATTAAAAGATTTAAGGTATTTCACTTAACTATTTATATATATAAATTTTATAAATTATATTATATATATTCCCCCTGTTGGTCGGGGTTAGAATAGACCATCGGTTGTTCCTGCCTGTCGTAAAAAGCGACTGAAAGGGACTTGTAGTAGGGCAGCAGCTACTACAATATTGGGTGTAGGTGCAGGTAACCTAGAATGGTAGAAACAGCTACACACCAAACAGTAGCCAGCAGATACGGGAACTGTATAACTGGTGGCTGCACTGCGATACGGAAGGCAAGGGGAGACCACCGTATAAATCATCCCAAGAAATAGCAATAACATGAAATCTTCTAAAGTGAAATATTCCGGAGGTAAAATAGTCCCCCGATCGGATCTCCGGGTGGGGACTACTGGAGAAGAAGGAAATGTTAAGAATTGGAGAAGAATAGCTACTTGGAACGTTAGAACTATGTTGCAATGCGGAAAACTAGAAAACTTGAAAATAGAAATGGAAAGAATGAAGATTGATATCCTTGGCCTATCAGAAATGAGATGGCCAAGAGCTGGAGATCTATGGAGTGGGGAATATAGGTTGATACACACAGGAACAGCGGAAAATAACCCAGGAATTGGAGGGGTAGGCATAATAATGAGTAAGGCTATTGGGATAAAAGTTAAAGGATTTGTACAGTACAATGAAAGAATAATATTAGTCAAAATCGAAACGAAACCTAAGGATACAATCATAGTCCAAGTTTACATGCCTACTTCTAATAGCAGTGAGAAGGAAATGGAAGAAGTCTACGAAGGAATAGAAAAAGTCATTGAAAAAGTCAAAGGAGATGAAAATCTTATCATTATGGGTGATTGGAACGCTGTAGTAGGAAAAGAAAGCCTAGGGCACATAATAGGAAATTATGGTCTAGGAAACCGAAATGAAAGAGGAGACAGATTAATAGATTTCTGTTCAAAACACAAATTATTAATAACAAATACCTACTTCAATCACCATCCAAGAAGAAGATATACATGGAAAATGCCGGGAGACATAGGTAGATATCAAATAGATTATATTATGGTCAAGGAGAGATTTAGAAACCAAGTAAAAGACTGCAGAAGCTACCCAGGAGCAGACATAGATAGTGACCATAACTTATTAATGATGAAAAGTAACCTAAAGCTCAAGAAAATAGTATCAACAAGAAAAAATGATCGATGGCAAATAAATAAATTAAAAGAAGAAAAGGCAAATGATAAGTTTAAAGAACTTACGAACAATATAAATATAAATGAGAGAACCGATATAAACTATAGGTGGGGTATTATAAAGAGCACAGTGACAGAAGCAGCATCAAAAACTCTGAAAGAAAATAAAAAGACAGTACCTAGGAAAGAATGGATAACAACAGAGATAGCAAGTATGATAGAAGAAAGAAGAAAGCTTAAGAATGGAACTACTCTTGAAAGTCAGCGGAAATACAGAGAACTAAGAAATCGTGTAATACGAAAGTCAAAAGAAGCAAAGGAAATATTTTTAGAGGAAAAGTGCAAAGAAATAGAGATACAAATGAGGAATGGTAGCAGAGATGCAGCGTATAAATCAGTTAAAAATTTTTTTACCGATTATAAACCAAAAAGGGGGGCAATAGAGGATAACAACGGAGTAATTATTTACGAGGACAAACATAAAGGTAACATATGGAAGAAGTATCTAGAACAGCTATATGAGGGACCAGAACTCACGGGACAAGAAATAGAGCATGAAGAAGTAATGGATAATAACTCAAATTATAGTGTACTGAGAGAAGAATTTGATAAAGCACTTAGAGATCTAAAAAAGAAGAAGGCTGCAGGAATTGACGAAATCCAAGCAGAACTTTGGAAAGAATCTGGCGAAAACATGCGCAGTGAGCTTTTTAAACTCATAAAGGAGATATTTAACTCAGGAAAACTTCCTGTAGACTTTACTAAGTGTAAGATTATTCCTATTCCGAAAAAAGCAACCGCAAACAAATGTGATCAGTACCGTACAATTAGCTTGCTGACACATGTGTCAAAAATACTGACAATAATTATGTCAAGAAGAATGGAATATAAGATCGAAGCCATATTGTCAGAAGACCAGTTTGGATTCAGAAAAAACATGGGTACAAGGGAAGCAATACTGGCTTTAAGAATAATTATCGAGAAAAGAATTAGAAAAGATAAGCCTACATACATAGCTTTTGTGGATATAGAAAAAGCGTTCGACAATGTCAACTGGGCAATAATGTTCAAGATGCTTAAAAAAATAGGTATAGAATACACTGAAAGGAGACTACTCTTTAATCTATACCAGAAGGAAACAGCTGTTATACGATTTGGCGAAACTGAGGAAGAAGCACGCATAAGAAAAGGAGTAAGGCAGGGTTGTACTCTCTCACCTAGCATATTCAATGCATACATCCAGGAGGCAATTAACATAATAAGAGAGAAAATACATTTGGGTATAAAGATAAATGGCAGGAAAATCGATATGCTACGGTTCGCAGACGATATAGCAGTCATAGCTGAAAATGAAGAAGATTTGCAAAGGATGCTAAGGTGTATGGAAGAAACTCTGCTCAATGAACTGAGCATGAAAATAAATACGAAAAAGACCAAAGTTCTCGTATGCAGCAGGAGCAATAATATTACGACAGGAATACATCTGCAAAATAACCAAGAAATAAAGCAAGTAGAAGAGTTCGCATACTTGGGAAGCATAGTAAGTAAGGATGGCAGAAGTAAAAAAGAAATAGTAAAGCGAATATGCCAAGCTAAGATAGCATTTAACAAAAAGAGAGGACTTTTTACTTCAAAAAATATTAGCATACGTACCAGAATATATCTCCTGAAGACATACGTATGGAGTATAATGCTGTATGGCAGTGAGACGTGGACGATTGCCAAAGAAGAGCGAAGAAGAATAGAAGCTTTCGAGATGTGGTGTTTCAGAAGAATGCTCAAAATAAGTTGGACGGGCATGGTAACAAACGAGGAAGTATTAGAAAGAATGTCCGAGAGAAGAACTTTATGGAGCAGTATCAAGAAAAGGAGAAATGAATGGATTGGACATGTATTGAGACATGGTGGGTTGCTAGGATTGATTATAGAAGGCTGTGTGGAAGGAAAAAATGCTAGAGGAAGACCACGAATGGAATATATGCAAAAAATAATAGAGGACCAAGGATGTACTTCTTATGAAGAGACAAAGAGGAAAGCAAGTAACAGGGAAGAGTGGAGAATTGCTACAAACCAATCTCAGGATTGAATACTGAAGAAGAATTATATATATAAATTTTATAAATTATATTATATATATATAGTAATTTTTAGAAATAACCATATCTTGAAGTTCATATCATATCATTTCTCAACAAATACAATTTTAAATTCCAATAGTAATTAATGCAAATCAACAATTGTGAATTGTAAAAAAAAGACTTTAAAAAAATCAAATGTATTAAATTATTTCTACTAAATAAATTATTTCAAATATTTTAATAGTTTTTTATGAATAAAAAAAAATACTGATATTTTTTTATATATAGTGAATAATTACTTCCTGTAGCTGCATCACTTTTCCAAGATACATTTTTGTAAGTTTTAACAAGGTTATTGAAAGTGTAATCAGTGCAATTCTGCGAGTTAAAATTTAATATTTTTTCGTTTACCAAAGCGTATCTATCCAACTTAAAAAGAAATACAATTATTAATTTTTATTCAAATTAAAACATAAATTGAATATACAATACATAATATATAACCAGTAATTCAACATTAAAAAAACATAGCACAATGGTGTCGCGACACAATGGGGACGTAGCATAGTTAAGTTCCGTATTGATGATATCTGACAGTGATTAAAATCACTATCATAAAAAATGCTTCGATGCAAATCTGTAGATAATGTTTAATTCTAAGAAATTGATGGATAATTACAAAAGCAACATCAACTTCTATTTCCTTAATTATATCCAGATTATTAATTCTTAGTTTAAAAATATAATATATAAATAAATAATTATTATAGCAATTAAATTAGTATGAGATTGATATTTAATAATTTAATATTTTAATTTTTTACAAAAATCGTATTTTTTTGATTAACTTTGATGTCCGTTTTCACCTTAAAAACAAAATAAAGTCAAATTTTTCATATTAAAGTATATTGCATAAACTCTATTTAAGATATTTATAAAAGTGTTAGTATTTCTGGTTGGCTTTAAAAAATTAAGTTAAACTCTACTTTCTATATGCATTTTTAAGTTTTGAACCCCCCTGTATAAAGAGTAATAGTACGAATTAAAAAAAGTATCTAAAATGAAAGAAGTAGATAAATATTATTTCTCTTGAAAAAATTGTATTGATCCATACATTATTCAAAAAGTTAAAGAAATATAAAGTTAAAAATGTAAAAATGAATTTTTATAAAAATCGAAATTTTTTATTAATATTGATGTTTGTTTTTACCATGAAAACAAAGTAAAATCCGATATTTTTTTTTTCATAATAAAGTATATTACTTTTAATTTAAGATATATATATATATATTTATATATATATATAAGTATCAGTATTTCCGGAACACTTTCAAAAGATAAGTTGAAAAAGTTGTTTTTTTGAATCCCTGTCGTGGGCTAATGGGTCAAATTTATAAAAACAAAAATACAAAATAATAGGTAAATATCTATTAAATGCATCTATAAAAAAAATTTTATATTGATTAGATCGTTTTTAAAAAAGTTATGGCAGTTTTAAGTAAAAAAAATTGAAAAAATGTCGAAAATTAGAGATTTTTAAATATATTTTTTTGGAGGTGTCCCTCATTTACAACGAACGAGGGAAAATTTTTCAATTTTTGAGAGCAATGTCTTTGACTAGATTTGATTAGTGATCTTTTGACGGATCGTTGAAAGAAATCGGTTAGGCGAGACCTGAGAAAAAGTGGTAACAGACACAAAAAAACACATCATAGTAAAATTAATACCTTCTTAGCTTCGCATCGAAGCATTGAAAAATATTCATTTTTCAATAAATACTCCGAGGTTCAAAATAATGTTAGAATACCCGTTTAGTGTTATAGTTTTTTACTTCATTTTTTTTAAATTAGTTATGCCTACATTTTAGTTAAACAGTATACATCTACATTAGGGGTGTTAAATATCCCCATTTAAACCCCGCTTTAAAAAAAATAATAAATAAATAAGATACCATAGGAGAAGTAATCAATGGTTTATGATAAGTTACAATTTAACAAAAAAAAAAAAATTATGATTTTAATATAGTCTAAAAGTACATTAAATTATTTTTAAAAAATTTACAACGAAATATTAATTGTATTAAAAGTTATAAGAATTGTCAGCTCTATCAGGCTCACTCTGTAGATTAAGTAAGATATTTTCGTTATACAACTAGCAAGTCCTATAACTTATAGAGCTAATACAGTATAATATACAGAATGCATAAAAAAAAGTCGATCTTCAAAATTTTAATGAAAATCATTTTAACTTTATTTTATACATAAAAATAGCATTTTGTGAAGATTTGAAAATCTAAAAAAAAATTTTTTTTATCACTTAACATGTTTTTAGTATTTTGACTAATTACTAATTTAAAAAATCATACCCCTCTGCTCCACAAAAAGGCCTCTGTTATTCAATTTTTGATCAAATATTATGATTAGTATATCAAAATAGTTTGATTTTTATAGTAGAATACAAATTTTTTAGTTTCAACATTTTAAGTCAAAAATTGATAACATGGATATCATAATTGACATCATTATATGGTATATTTCTAGTAGGTCTCAAGTAAACTTAAAATTGAAAAAAATTTTTTTTTTATTCAGTTTGGCTGATATTTATGTATATTACAAGTAAAAAAAATTATTCACTAATTTTAAAAACTTATACCTATTTTTAAAAATGAAGTGTTAGCTGAAAAACAATAGCACAGTGGGATCGCGGCACAGTGTCGACGTGACATAGTTGGGACAAGTATAAATGATATCTATGGAATCAAACATCTGAATTAAAAAATGAAAATATCAAATTGCGTGGTGAACTTGAAATTTCAAATAACGAAGTAATCAAGTTAAAGACGTGTAATGCTACAATTCAACCATCTACTATTGTAAGTCAAGTACTACAGGAATCATTTGAAAAAGAAACATGTTCGACTAACATTATTGCTTATGTAGTACCGGAGTTTTCATCTTCATCTAAGCCTGAACGTATCAGTGGTGATATAAAGGCATTGGTTGCTCTTCTTAAGCCTCTTGGCTTAATATAATTGGCCTCTTATAAAAATTTCTTAGTTAAATGTTGAACAATTATTTGTTAAATTTTCTATTGGTGCTAATCTTTTTGTAATTGGTGGTGTTTATAATCCTCCTCATTCTCCCTCTAGTCTTTATGATACCTACACACGATCTGTTGTATATCATTCAGCTATATCCTAACTATACTTATATCTTTTGTGGTAATTTCAACTAGTTGAAATAATTTGGAATAACGATGATAATGGACTTTTATACTCCTGTCAATCTTCGTTGTCCTTTAATTCCTGAAACATTTACATTTACAGAATGATTTTTTTCAAAAACATTCTGTAGTTAATGACCATAGCTCTATTCTAGACTTAGTATTTTGTAACAATAACTGTCTTACAGTAGATAAGAGTTTTAACTCTCTAGTCTCACTTAATGCTAATCATCCTACTTTATATTTATCCCTTAGTTCTAATCTACCATTAACTAGCTGTGATATTTCTCATGAATTTTTTAATTTTAAAAATTCAAATTTTATTAATATTTGCTTTTTTATTGGAGCATTTAATTGGAAATCTACTTTAGAGCCTTTTGATGCTGACTCAGCCACCAATGTCTTTTATGATGCGTTACATAAATGTATTCTTGATTTTGTTCCCAAACGTTGCTTTACTATTTCTACTTACTCTGTGTGATTTTCTAAAGAGCTTAAACTTATCCTGTTTCAAAAGAAACGTGCCCATGATGCGTTTTATAAATCAGACACTAATGCTTCTAATTACAAGGAATTTTCTTTTTGGCGTGCCAAATTTAAATTTGAGCCAAAAAAATGTTATTCTAAGTACGTTGAAATTGCTAAACTATCGCTTAAAAATAATTCTAGACACTTTTGGAAGTTTGTGAATAATATCAGGACTTCTAATAGAATTCCTAAAGTATTGTCCTTCAATGGCGTAATCTCTTTAAATGAACAGGAAGTAGTTGATCTCTTTTCCTCATATTTCTCCTCTACCTACTTTTTTAATAAAATAAATCTTGATACCGAACAACTAGGAATTTTACAATATGACTTACCCAGTTCGATCAGAATAAGTGTTTACGATGTTTACCAGGAGCTTTATTACTTGAAAGGGAATTGGTCTGTTGGTCCGGATGGATTATGTGATGAGGTGTTATTCCAGTTGAGGTCCTAAATTGCTTTTCCTCTGTGGCTAATTTTCAGTAAATCTTTATATGGAGGCATTTATCCTTCCCTATTTAAATTAAGTTCTATTACACCAATTCCCAAAACCACCAGCTCTGCTTTTGTGTATGATTACAGACCTATTTCTGTTCAGTCTCACATTTCAAAAATGTTTGGAAAGCTCGTCCTTAATGTAATTCACCCTTTATTAAAACATATTATTTTATAGGAACAACATGGTTTTAGTCCTGGGCGGTCAACTACCACTTGCAACTTGTTTTTTTGTAATCATGTTTTAAATGCTTTTGAGCAAGTGTCCCAAGTTGATGTGCTTTATACGGATTTCAAAAAGGCATTTGATTCTGTTAATGATGAAGTTCTTCTTTAAATAATTAAATTAAATGGATTTGAGAAACCTCTTTTAGAATGGTTTGACTCGCTTCCTCTGGGGTACCTCAAAGTGGACACTTATTATCTATATTATTTTCTTTATTTGTAAATAGTATAAAAATGTATTACTAAACTGTAAATTTTTGTTTTTTGCTAATGATATGAAGCTTATCTTACAAGTTAATTCTATTGATAACTATAAAACTACAGAATGATTTAGATAGATTTACAGCGTGGTGCTTAAACATAGGTTTAACCCTAAACTTCGAAAAATGACGTGTTATGACATTAACAAGGTCTCGGTCACTTATTATTTTTACTTATAGCCTTTGCGATGCTAATGTTGTACGACAAATTGATTTTGTACTTGACCTTGGTTTTAAGTTCAGTAAAACATTGGACCCTAAGTCTCATATAGAAATGGTGTGCTGTAAAGTGATTAAAAAGCTCGGCTTTGTAATTAGATTAGAAGCTAAATTAAAACTAAATTCTTCCTTAAGAATTTTATATTCTTCATTGGTCCCGTCAATTATTGAATATGGTTCTATTGTTTGGAATCCTCATTCTTCATCGGATTCCAATCAAATAGAAAGGGTACAACGGAGATATTTGAGGTATGCTGGATTTATTTTGGATATCCAGCATGACCCTCATGATTATTCTCCAGTGGCAAACAAACTTAATTTTACGTCGTTGGCGGATCGCAGAATTGCTGCAGGTTTAAATTTTGAAATGAATTGCTGGAAGGTAATTTTGACTCGATGTATCTTTTGCAGTTAATTAATTTTAAAGATCCTCAGAGAAATTCTCGTTCCCATTTTCCTTTGTTCATCCAAATTAGTTCTATAAATTACTTACAAAATGAGCCGATTAGAAAAATTTTAAATAGTGCCAATATAGACCCACATATGTTATCTTGTTAACCACTTCCTTTTCCTTATTTTTTACTTTAAAACGATAATTTTTTTTTTATATATATATACATTACTTCAAATATTCTATTGAATCATTGTGAATTATATTTATACTGATATTATTTTATGAAATTTTTAAATAACCTGATATTGTAAAAAGGGCTAAGCCAGTTAAATTTATAAATAAATATCTAACAGTGATATAATCACTATCATAAGAAACGCTTCGATACAAATCTTTAGATAGTGTTTAATTTTCAGAAATTGATGAATTATTCGAAAAGCAAAAGTTACCCCTATTTTTTGTTCAACTTTGACAGTCTTTTGCATATAGAAGATAGAACTTATAGTACATAATGTAAGTTTTAATTTAACATATGTTTAAAGGACGCAGTATTCCCGTAACATTTTCAAAAGTTAAGTTGAAAATGTTCTACTGTTTATACGTATGTTTTAAGATTTGATCGCCGCTTGTACAAGGAGAAATCGTCTGATTTAAAAAAAGGTATGTTGGATGAAAGGGATATATATATATATATATATAATGTATTAAGAAATAAAAATTTGTGTTGATCTATACATTTTTCAAAAAGTTATAGCAATTTAAAGTTGAAAATATAAAATATAAAATCGAAAATTTTAACATAAAAATAGCATCTTTTTAGCTACATCAGACATTCGTACGTAGCATATAAATCGTGGGAACAATTTTTTTTTTTTAACTTATATTGTGTAACATAAGCTTTAATTTAGCATATATTTAAAGGACATAGTATTTTCGGAACGTTCTCAAAAGTTAAGTTGAAAAAGTTAATTTTTTGTGAAAAAGTTGTCATTTTGAATCTCCCTCTGTGGATAGATAAAGGGTCGGATTATCAAAAAATTTATATCAAATAAAAGGGAATTACTTAAGGTTTCAATATAAAAAAATATTTCAATTTTTGAGGATAATGTCTTCAACTAGATACGATTTGTGATATTTTGACTTATCGTCAAGAACAATTGGACTAGTGAGAGCTGAGAAAATGTATCGACAAACACAAAAAAATAATAATAATAAACACATCATGGTAATATTAATACCTTCTCAGCTTTGCATCGAAGCTAAAATACATATTGAAAGTAGAACTTTTTCAACTTAACTTTTGAAAGTGTTTTAAAAGTCTGACATTTTTATATATATCTTAAATTAAAGCTTATGCAATATATTTTAATATTAAAAAAAAAAAATTCGGACTTTATTTGATCATTAAATACTTCTAAATTATTTTTAATTTTTGTCAAACAATTCATATATACTAAATACAATAAATAACATAAGAAAAAAACTTTATTTTTTCGTAAAATTATGCATCAGTATAAATTTAGTTAAAAATTAACAAACCTATGACGTCATAGATTTTTCTGATTTTAATAGTAAAATTTTGAACGTTTTTAATTTTATTTCTCGCGGTCGTTATATTATTAAGTAAGAAAAAATAAATTACATATAGTTGTACTAAAATTAATTTTTGATATGAATATAATTGTATCATAATATAATCATTTTAAAACAAATACAGTTTTAATATAAACTGTAATTCAAGCCATTACACTTCATTTTTTTACTTCGTTGTAACTCAATTTTGAGCCTATATATTGAAATACATTTAACAATTATAATACACAAATTTTTAGTAAATTTACGTTCAATTTAATTTTAATGTATAATGGAAAACTCAAAGATCAAATCTCACCATCTAACATTTACGCCAAAAAAAAACATTATTAACTAAAATCTCCCATTAAAACGTTCTGTTTTAGTAAATTTTTATATTTACAAAGTGTTACTAAACAACTAATATCTATTAGTCAATATCTATATTCAAAGCCATTAATACAGGTGTGATCAAAAATTGACAGCCATTATAACACTTAAATGTAAAACTTTCACAAATAAAACATCTTTATAAGAAGTGAATTAAGTTAATAAAGAAATACTATTGTTCAAAATAGCAAAGATATTAAATTTCTGAAGTCAATAGATATTGTCTTTGACATATCAATCGCTAATTCTTTAGAGATCGATTTTTAAACAAAGAAAGTAAATTATTTATTTCTAAACCAGTCTTTACTACTAAAACAAAATAAGAATAAATTTATTACATAAACTTAAGAATGAAATTTAAGTACTGTTTAATATGAGTAAAATATTGCTAATTATACAGTGATAGCTTATTTGGATGTGAAGTTATAGGCTATAGAATATAAGGTGTTTTTTTATGTTTTTAATTATAAAAAATGCACTATCTGGTAAAATAACAATTTTTTTTTTTATTATGACCTTCAAGAAGTCTATGATAAAAGTTTTAAAAATGTTTGAACTATAGCCGCACACACATTAGGTGATCTCACGTGGAATGACCCTACCGTAGATTTTATCCAAATTCTATATGTTTACTAAGGAAATTTAAACATTTTGTCTGAGTATAGTCACATAAAATTGTTGGCTAATATTATGAATTATAAAAATTAATATTTATGAAATGTTGTATACTTTTTTTTTGAAAGTCTATTTTTTATTGTGAAGAAAGTTCTTTATTGTCCAGTGTATTTATTCATAAGTAACAATTTTTTTTTTTTGAAAAGTGTTGTATCAATCCCTTTAAATTTTTATACACGTTAAAACTAAAGAAATATATTCAAAATAAAATAAAAATTAAACATATATTAAATATATGTTAAATATTCATTTATTTATATATTATAATTTAAAATCAAAGAATTATAATTAGGATATAATTAAGTAGATAGAAGTTCATATTGTTTTTATAATTATCCACCAATTTCTTAACCCTGGAACGCTAGCGACATCTTATAGGCGCATTTTACTAACGATGCGTCAATTTCAATCCTTGGATAGTTTTTATTGTTAACGGTGTGAGCATAGGGTGAGTTGCGATAAAAACGAGCTATGATCATTTTTAAAAGAGTCTTTATTCAAATCACTTAAAAAAGGTACAGAGGTGTAGGAGGGAATGGACAGAAGGGGAAGCGTTTGGCTCGCGTACGATGCGTCAGTCTGATGTACGCTAGCGTTCCAGGGTTAAAATTAAATACTATCTACAGATTTACATCTAAGCGTTTCTTATAATATTAATTTTAATATTGTCAGATATCATCTATACTTGTCCCAACTATGCTACGTCCATACTGAGCCGCAATCCCACTGTGCTACCGTTTTTTTGGTTAAAATACTAAACACACGTTGAGCGACCAGTCAATTTTTTTTAAAAAATCTCAAATCTTCACAAAATGCCTATTTTAATGTATAAAATAAAGTTAAAATGGTTCTCATTAAATTTCGAAGATCAACTTTTTTTTATTCACTCTATAACATACTATATACATTGTATATAGTATGTTATAAGTTCTATAAAAACAAGAAAAATGGTGCCTAATGTTTGATTTTCAAAATATTCATACCGGTGACAAAATTAATTTATTTGTCATGATATCACATAAAGAATCTAAAGTTGGCTTGTTTGTAGATGTAGCTCCTAGTCTGTTAGATCTGTAGTATTGGATTATATCAGCGAAATTGCTAGCTAAATTGGCAAACAAACTCCACAAATCGATTTTATTGTTTACTTCCAAAGGATCACACAATCTAGAAAAACAGGATAAAAATTTTATAAGAGTAAAACTAAATTATTATCTCAAAAATTACTTGAAATTATTTATATTATTATTTACATTCCCTTGATCACTTTTAATGAGATCATTTAGCATTTTAGTAGCTAGTTTGATTTGTACTGCACAATCTGGATTATAAGTATTCAATATATTTTCCACTATTTTGTAATATTCTATAAATAATAATAAAAAATTGTATTTGTGTTACATTTTAAATCAGCTTAATATATTAAAAAGCTGTATATGGTATTTATAGATTTGGAGAAAGCATATGATAGAGTACTGAGAGAGGTTTTAAAGAGGGCATTAATGAGAAAAGGATTCCCGAAAAGTTACATTAATATAATAGAACATATGTATGATGGCACTTTACCCAGGTAAAAAGTGTAAGAAGAGTAAAAGAAGGTTTTAGGGTAAGAGTAAGAGTGCACCAAAGTTCTGCTTTAAGCCCTTACTTATTTTCTATAGTCATGGATGAAATTACTAGAAAAATAAAAGGAAAGTGCCGTGGTGCATGTTGTTTGCTGACAATATAGTGTTAATAGGAGAAAATAGGGAGAAAATTAATTAAAGGCTAGAAGTGTGGAGATCAGCTCTTGAAGAAAAGGGTTTAAGAATAAGTAGAAGTAAGACAAAGTATATAGAGTACGAGTATGACAAAGGAGAACACGAGGTGGTTGAAATGAGGAGACCAGTGACAATAGGCGAGGACATGATTGAAGAGGTGGAAAGTTTTAAGTATTTAGGATCAGTTATGCAAAAGAGCGGTGGTATTGATGAGGATGTAAGACACAGGTTTAAGTGCGGATGGTTGAAGTGGAGAGAAGCGCCCGGCGTCTTATGCGATAAAAAAATTCCAATGAGGCTGAGAGGTAAGTTCTATAAGACTATAATGAAACTAGCTATGATGTATAGTTCAAAGTGTTGGGCAGTTGATAAGAAAGTAGAGCAGTGGAGTGTAAATTAATAGGTGTAGCGTCAATCTTTGGTAAGATAAGAGAAAATAGACTTAAATAGTTTGGTTATGTTAAGAAGAGAGAATAATCGGAAACTGTGAGAATAATTATGAAAATGAATGTCGAATGAAGAAAAGGTAGAGGAAAACCATAATAGAGATGAAGAGATGTTATTGAATGTAATATGAGAACCGCATATGTGAGCGTAGATGATGTGGGAGATCGTGTCAAGTGGAAGTTTAGAATAAGAGTGGCTGACCCTAATATAAAAAAAAAGTTTGAAGATATTATAAGTTTATAAACAAAAGCGTATTTACACCTTTTTCATAGGCTGTAACAGAGGGTCTTAACTAAAATAAAAATAATAGGCTTTTGAAGTCATGTTTTATGCTGCTTTTTGAACTATTGAATAATAAATATATATTTATTTAATATAAATAGACAATTTGAAAAATACATAAAACCGTTAAAAATTTTTTAATTATTGAACTTGTAAAACTTAAGTAAATTTGTGTAAATAAGCTAATTTGGAACGTAGGTCGATTAAAAAAATTAAGTTCTTAAATCATACAAATAACATTTAATTTAAGAACTACGAGATTTTTTACGTAAGAAAGTTAAGATAGCTTTTCTTAATTACACAATGCTTCTAAATTTACAACGAAGCATATTAAACAATTTTCTCCAACTTGAACTGCATTTTAGATTCAAAACTGCTTACCATTAAAATCTGCCTTTGCTAAAAGAGGACCACTAGAAGAAACAGCTGCATGTATAAGATGAGGAAACTTCATTCTTGACCATGCAGCTAACGATCCTGCGTATGATCCTCCAAATACTACCCATTTTGCTGTAGATGAAATATTGAATTTTGTTTTAGAATCAATAATAAATTGAGCTAAATCAGCTAAAGCTTGTTCACTGCTTAAGTGCACTAGACTTTCAGAACTGAGATCACTAAATAATATAACCAACAAAGAGATATTAAAAGTATTAACAACAAATTATTAATAAAAAGTAATTTGTGAAAAACTAATAAATTTTAGTAAAACTATTTAAAAAAAATATTTTTACCTTAATTTTTATTTAACCTGTATAAATATCTAGATTAAATGCTTGAATTTCGTTATTTAATTTTAATTTATCACTAATTATATTTAAATTAATTCTGCATTATATTTAAGTTGGAACTTTTTTTGTTTAGTATATTTACAGATATATTCATACCATCATAAAAATATGAATTAAAATTAACTTTATACAATATACTACTTAATCCTATAGATATAAAAATTACAAATGTAGGATCAGCAAAAAGAACTAACTGTGTTTTATGCAATGTATGAAGAAATTTAGCACAGCTTCAAATCTGAACTTCATAAGCCCAAACAGGTCATATCTACATTTCATAATTTTAATATACTACTATGATATTAATAAAATTTTGAATGACATTATTACACTAAAAACGTAATATCATGAAAACATAGAATCATAGGCGCAATTTGATAGATCCAAAAGGGACTTAGCCCCTACTTTTGTCACAGACCTTCCAAAGAATTATGAAAATTATATATTAATTATACAATACAAAAAGTTGTATTGTAAAATTATATTAATAAGAAAACTTTTTATGTACAATAATGAATAACAACGCCTGTGTTTACCAGAATTGATTTCTTTAGTTTAAATAAAGAAAAAATTATAACACTATAAATATTTTAAATTAATAAACGGTAGCACATGGAGTCACGGTACAGTATGGACGCAGCATAGTTGAGAGAAGTATTGATGATATCTAATAGTAATTAAAATTACTATTATAAGAAACGCTACAATGCAAATCTATAGATAATGTTTAACTAATATAAATTAGTGTCTAAAAGTAACATCAACTACTATTAATATTTTTTGTTAATTATTAAGAAATACACTGGTCTACTAAAAATTTTCATCAGAGTAAAAATATGCCTTTCTAAGTTACTTTTTGGCACTGAACTCAAGTCTATAATTACATTTTTTCTATCACCTTGTTTTTGAGAATATTACTAATTAGTAAAACAAGTATATAAATATATAAAAATAATTATAAACAATGTAATCCGTGTAAAATGTAATTTTTAACCTATTTTTTGGTCTTTTAAAGTTGAATATTATGAAAGTTTATAATAAAAAAAATTGAAAATTTTACCATAATTTATTTTCATAACTTCTAAGTCATTATATAAGAAATTTTATGAGAATTGAAAAAATGGTATAGTTATGATTACTATGCAGCCAGAAAAATTTTGAATTACTATTTACAATAAATTTATGAGAAAAGCATAACATTTTGTTAAAGTCACTACTTTTTCTATTAATATTGAAATAATTAATTTCAACAGAAATCATACCAATCATTTTTAAGTCGTTTTTTAGTGTTTAAAAAGATTCTACAATTGAAATATTCAGAAATAAATCATTAATTTTAATGATTTATTTTAATTAAACATAAGTTAATATAAGGTAAATATTTTGTAAAATAAATTATTGCTATAACTATGGCTTATTTTTACAAAAAACCATAGCACAGTGGGGTTGCGGCAAAGTGTAGACGTTGTATAGTTGGGACAATTATAGATGATATCTGACAGTAATAAAAATCACTATCATATGAAAAACGTTTTGACACAAATCTAAATATATATAAAAATAATAATAATATAAATAAAAATAAGATACAAAATCCATGGTATTCCGATTTTGCCTTTGGCTTGCTTTGGCCCATATTGGACCCACCTTGGGTTCTTGTTAAGTTAGGCTGGTTTTACAAACTCTTATGTTAATTGGATAGCTTAATTAATAAATTGATATAACATTCATAAAAAGCCATCACTTAAGCCACATTATATAATGTAACAGTTACATTGTAATATAGTATATACTATGTCATTAAGGATAAGATACTAATTTTTTGGAAACTATTGAAAATGCTGAATTCTTGTTAAAGGAAAATATTGTTTGACTCAAAAAACTCTACAATTTTAAAAGTTAAATCTATTTTTTTATCCCTTCAAGAGTAAAAAACTTGTTTTTTTAATAGAAACCCTTATTTTTAGTTTGATAGAAAAAAAGTGTTCAAACAACTTTGTTCTTATAATTTATTTATACCTGATCAACCGTTTGCCTTTTAATATTGTTTAAGAATTTAGGTTTAAAATACAAAATAATCATTACTTTACATGCCACGCCCGTATAATAGACTTGAATAATTAAGGATAAGATTCCTTTATGTTTGATAATATCATGTTATACCTGTGACAAATAACGAGTATTGATGCTAAATAGAAAATTATCAATAGAAATTTGGAAAAGAAATCATTAAATTTTAACAAGCAATAATAGAATATCAGTTCATCAAATAAGAAATACATGGACAAAATTATTTGAATTTTTTAGCTTCGATGCGAAGCTGAGAAGGTATTAATTTTACCATGATGTGTTTATTTTTTTTTATTTTTTTTTTTTTTTTGT